CTATTAATGTTTTGAATTGTTTGAATTACAAATATGGATGTTTGTGTTATATCTATACTATTATAATAAAGCGTAAACACACACTTCTTTGTTGCCTAAGATGTCAGCAATTACAGCATATTTTTGAATAATGCTTTTTTTCACGCCATTAAACTTAGGAGGTAAATATTTCGGACAAAAACCCTAATGTGGGAAAGAGACCATAAGTTGGTGCCAACATCAAGAAAGCAAGATTGCCATAGTAAAGTAATTGGTATTTTAACATTTGCAATTGAGAATTTGACAAATGCAAACAATAAATGTATAATTTCATGCGGATGAAGCCGCACGCGAACAGCTAGTATCTATTAAATACCCTTGTGTGTGTTGTCTTGCTTCTCGTGTCCCACTAGGTTGCCTGGAAGAAATCGCTCTTAGCGATAAGGCCGCCCTTGTGCAAATCTAATATTAGTTATTTAATTTAAGCTTTGTTGTATATGTGCAAAAGTATTGAATAAATAAATAAATATGGTCATAGTTTTGAACACTAGTGCCACAGACGTTCATATTAGTAAGCATAATTTGTAGTGCCATTTAAAGTGTTAATGTTACTAAACATACCATATGGTACTGTGGGTACTATAATCAGATAAGGTACAATCGGGGAAACTGACGGTGTCCCACTTTAAAGGCTACAATCGTTGGAATATTTTAAAACGACGACGCAGAACAAAAACCAGTACAATTAATTTGACAAGTAACATATTACCATAGAAAGTACCGGTGAAGAAATTTTTGTTCACTTTGTATAGTCTATATGTTTGTTAAATGTCTGGTCTGTACGAATAAAGTTCGGTTAGTGATTCACGGTTTCTTTTCAATATTATCCCTTCGTTTGCACTCACTGCTGTCTGATTGGTTACTTGTAGGAAAAGGCGGGATTTGTCTAATTGCAATGAACAAAGCAATTTTTTCTAAAGTGGAACACCGCGGATTTCTATGACTGTACCTTATGGGAAAGTTGTCATTAGTAGCATATGACATTACAACACCGTAGCCAAGGGCCATTAAATCATTGTGTTGTGTTTCGTAAGCTGTTATTATTATACAACTACACTATAATTCAAATCAGTGACAGCGCACACCTTTGAGTAAACTATCGGACAACTGTTTAGTCGCACTGTAATTCCAATGACCTTATTTGGAGGTGCGCACACTATTCAATTTTTAGTCGTACAACTAAACAGATGAATGGGCTGCGAAACAATTGACAATCGTCAATCGCATAACAGTCGTGCGAAAGTTTATTCAAAGGTGTGGGCTTAGGGCTTGTTGAAAATGGATTCTTTACACGGATCATTGATTTTAACACTGATAGAGCCCGCTTTAACATCTTTGCACGAATGGCTCTGCTCGCCTGGTGAAATACAACTTGGTCGCTTTCCCTTTCCACCCTTTTATTAAGAGGAAAGGATGGAAAGGAAAAGTGGATTTGACGGTGGAGGATACGCATATGAAGGGGAAATGTCCTCTTTATGTGCGTCTCCTCCTCCGTCTTTTACTCAAAGGTTTGCACCCCATATTTTAAGGGATTGTTGAAAATTGATTCTTTACACAAAACAGAATGTAATTTAAGGAAACTAAATATTATGCTAATACTTTTTATTAGGCGCTTATATCATAGATCTGTACTTCAAAATAACAAAGCGTAGTACTTTATAGTTGCTTAGATTATCTGGAATGACTCAGATATTGTTCTGTTGCGGCATGTAGAGAATTTTAATAATGCATCTCGATATAACATATGTGACATGAAGACTTGTCTTGTGTGCTTAAGAATATAGAATTAGATTGTTTAGTATGCTGTATATAATTTTCTGTACTGTGCTTGTCAAGAACATACTATCTATACTAGTATTATAAATAAGATTTGTATTTTGTATGTATTGAAATAACTCAAAAACTACTGGGACGATTTCAAATATTTTTTCACCATTAAAAAGCTACCTTATCAATGAGTAACATAGGCTATATGTTTTATTACTTTTTAATTCCACGCGGGCGAAATCGCGGGAAACAGCTAGTCATTGACATAAAGTTTAATGTCAAATCATCACGTAAATAAATTAATTTAAAACTTATCGTGCGAAGTTGTGATTGATAGAATTATCTGAATTATTTAGATATACACTCACAAAAATGAATTAAAAGTGGTAGTGCTCTCAATATATAAAATAGTCGATTGCTTTTATTTGTATTTGCATTGAATTTCTAGTCAATACATTTTTTTCGATTGAAAATATGTAGTGCATGGGTAAATCAAAAGTAGGTTAGTATCTATGAAGTACAATTGGAAAACAAACTTTTTTTTTTCAACTTGAAAGTGACAAACTAGCAAAAGATCTTAATCTAGCTTCTAATATTATAAATGCGAAAGTTTAGATGGATGGATGTTTGTTAGAGTTTGTAGCCTAAACGGCTGAACGGATCTCGATGTAATTTGGCATAGTTGTAAAGGACAGTCTGGAAGAACACATAGGCTACTTACTTTATATTTAATTCCACGCGAACGGAGTCGCGAGCGAAAGCTAGTTCGTTATAAAAGTGTCTAAAGCCAATAGGCTTCGAAAATATAAATGTTTTGATTTATTTATTACTTGTTTATTGTTACACTGTTTGTATTTAAAAATGTGAGACACCGCTTTGGCTGATGTTATAAATAGCCCTAAGGCAAGTTAATCTGGTTTGAATACGTCCTTACCATCTCTCGTCTGTGGGTGTTTGCGTATTAATTCACAATTGTGGAAACCATATTGTAACTCTGAAACTTGGCAATGTTATTGTTACCTCAGGATAATAGTATTTTTATAAATTTCATGCAAAATTTATGGTTTTAAAACGCTATTTCATACTTATCAGCTCTTATTCTAGATAGTTCTAGCTAGCTCTAGATCTCGGCGAGAAACACTCGCGTCTCCATACTCGTCACGTACGGCCAATATCGCTCAGTGGAAAGAGTCGCTTACAGTTGAAGACCACAGAAGTAAACGTCGTTCTGATTAGATAGGACTAATTGTTATAGATGTTTATGAAATTCCTATTGAATCGTATTATCCTGATTTGTACGTGGGAATCCTTGTTACCCTACGCACAACCTTTTCAAGGATATCGCAGAATAATAAGAAGGGAGGCACGCGAGATGTTTGGTGTAACGCCTTGAGTGTACTTTGATATCTTTATTAAATTCTGTTTTGAGTGGATTGAATACTACTGAATCGTTGTCTAGATCGTATTATAATAAAGGCTAAAATTATGTATGAAAATGCCTAAGACATTGTATCTTTTTTTAAGAAACAAATACTTAAAAATGTACAAATTTATTATTTGACTACCTGTGGCTCATTTTTATTATATCGTTTAGTATATAACAATATAAATTGGTTTTCATTATCGGGAATACTACAATGGATACAATTTGTCAGAAACTTGTTAAAATATTCGCAGTTTTTAGTATAATTTGCACCTAATGCTAATTGATTGTGCATTTAGCCATTGGGTTGTGTGAATATGCATTTATAGTTCAAACAGTGTTGTTTCTTGCTATTAATATATTTGTCCTCTAATGTTTGAACCCGGAGATTAATTACCTTACCTTCTCCTTCCGCATTTTTAATATAAACAAACTGCTGTTTTAAGGTAGCATATGCAAAGTGGATGTCTATGAGTAAGTCTCTTCGCTATTTTAGCAATTTCATGTGGCTGCTTACTTGTTTGCCACCTTTTTAAATAAACAAAAACTCCCTTGTTAAATTCATTTATCATTTACGATGTAACACAATTGACACACACAAACAAATCCGTATATATTTAAACATGTTGCGAATATTACTCACCCGTATTTGAGTTAAAACTCAAAAAGAAAAATACGCTATATAAAACCCTCTTTGAATACGATTCATTCGCAAAGCGGCATTAAATAGCGTAGTTTCACATTTGGCATTTACTTGTACTTGAGCCTCGGGATTTTCGTCTAAAGCTCCCCATTTATACCGAAATGTCAAACAGGAATAACTTTGACGTCATTAAATCCCGCAGGAGGCGTAATGTGGTTCTCCATTCGTACTGCCCAGGTAACACACAGGGTTGAACTAAAATTATACGAGAAAAAATAACAATTGCAATTTTTTTTTATCTTTAAATTGCGACTTTGAATGACCACTTGTGCAAAACGTAGTTGGTGTTCAATTAAACACTTATATCCTTTTGGCTTTATTATTGTTTTTTTCATGTCGGTATGAATGATTTATCCATTTTTAGTAGTGGATGAAACTGATTGACAAAATGTCTGGCAATTAAAATAATTAGGGACAGTTTTACCACTTACAGATAGAGGTTTAGATACCTTAAACATAATGCATTTGTCAGATAAGATATTAAATAAAAATAAAACGTAGTAAACATTGACAGCCCTGAAACATTAAATTGTGTATGAAAGAACAGACCGAGAGTGGGCGATGTTGATTTACCTGGTAGATTATTTTCGGCTTTGCATTTCTTCGGCAATGCGTAAACACAATGCCGTAATTGTAAGACCTGGCTGAGTTCAATTGAGCGTACATAAGCACTTAGTCATTCATTAGACAATGACTCATCGATCTCAATATGAATGAAAACTTCTATCGGTTTTTAGAATCGTATTGTACCTTGAACCTTGGTACATGTGTGGACCTTAGCAATTTCTTCATACTAGTTATCAAATAAGTAGATGTTAACAGAAATTTAAACGTCATGCGAAATCTAATAATGAACAAATATCATCTGATGGCCAATAATGTTATCTTTCAATGCCAAAGTCAACAATGCCATATCATTTGATATAATATTTTTTTTTTATTATTTTAGATAACTTAGCTTCCCGATTAAAAAGAAAGCGTCGCTGTCTTTTACCTTAAAATTATATAAAAGCATGCTTCATTATCTTGTTGATTACTGAGTCTAACCTAAGTCACCTTTTGTTGCAGGAGTGTCTACTTCTGCGGCAGTTCGTGATCGCTGCCCATCATGCTGCGACCGGAGTCGCCACTCGCTGACCACCGCAGCCTGCTGCCGCGCCGACTGCTGCCCGTCAAGGCGCAGATCGCTCCCGCCGACAAACGCAAGAACAGACGCTCCCTAGAGCTCAACCCGCCCAACGAACATGCCCCATATGACTACCCAAAGCTACTCATATCGAAAACAACCGACTCCCTTAACACAGAATGCCCCAGAAAAATCATCCACAAGCAAGACTCCACCGATAGCTTAAAACGAGCTCTGCTCACGAAAGATGACAAAAAAGCAGCTAAGGAGATTGACAAAAAGTCTGTCACCAAACAAGACTCCAGCGAGAGTCTAAAAAAAGCACTGCTTTGTAGACAGGAGTCGAACGATAGTGCGAAACGAAAAGAATCCGATCCAAAATGGACGCAGCGGCAGGAAGACTTAAAAAGGACAGTAGAAGTTAAGCGAGGTAGTGATAAGAAAGGTCTGTTAGAGACTGATATTGACGATACGTGTAAAAGAATATACGAAAGGAGGTCGGGATGTGCTCGGCCAACTTTACCACCAGTAGCAGAGAAGAGCGTGCCTTCTCAGAAATCTCCTAATGGGAGTCCGAAGACTCCCGGAGTGGCGGCAGTCGCGGAAGGCGTGGTCAAGTGGGGCAGTGGACTGTTGTCGCCCAAAGAGGAGCCCAGACTGAGGCCGGCTAGGAGCTGGTATGGATACGGGACTCTGCCGACAGATGGCGATAAGGTAAGAGCCTTATATATCTTACAATAGTGTCTTATTTTGCAGGTTTTTTCGCTAATTCTGAGTACATAATCTCGACCTTATTTAGGGCAGTAGTGAAAATTATAGATATTGTTACTGAATCCGATCCATTATCTACTGCAATCCATCAACATATGCTATGCGCCAGCTTAGACAAAGTATTCGTCATCTGATATTTTTAATGTCACCGACTTTTGTGAAAAAACGGACTTTTGAAGTCAATAACCAAGACTACCGCTTCTTACCCATAATTGGTTTTGTCACCTTTGATATAAGGAAACCTGAACATTGTCACTTTTCAGATAACTACATTTTTTATCTGCTTTTATGAGCCGTTACCTTGTTGACGATTGTCTTTATTTTTCCATGACGTCATATTAAGCGATACGGGCGTAAATAGTTATTATTACTTTAATTTAGTTTTATTAAATAAGGCCTCGGTCACGTGAACTATACAAGAGCATTAGTAATCGATGAATGTATGTAAATTTATGGATTTAAAATACACAGAATAACATGTTTGAGGAACCCTTGCTTTAAACTTTTATAGGCTTGATCCCATTTTTTTAACGCTGTCAACAAATTAATATCGAAAATGTTGTACGCCAATCTATACTGTATACCTATACTATTATAATAAAGCGTAAACATACAATTGTTTGTTGCCTAAGATGGCAGTAATTACAGCTTATTTTTGAATAATTCTTTTTATAATAAATAGCCCTACATTTACGTCACGCTTTAGGCTATATATTTTCACGCCATTAAACTTAGGGGTAAAAATTTTGGATATAATCCTAATGTGGGAAGGAGACCATAAGTTGATGCCAACATCAAGGAAGCAAGATTGTCAAGGTTTGTCATGTCATGTCATTTTGACATGGTCATTTGAAAAATGCAATGCAAATATGAAACAAGAAATAAAACATATCTCAGAATAAGTACATACGTGTAAGCTAGAGGTCTTGTACGGCTTCTAAGTCGTAGGGATTTTATTACGACCTTGACAAAGATACTAGATTTTTATTTGATGTGGTCGATGTATGGAGATTTATTTGTTGAGAGTTACCAAGTATGAGTGTGTTATAAGTTAAGAGTTACCAAGTGTGAGTACTTAGAGCGTACGCACATCGGAAACTAAACTATCAGACAACTGTTTAGTCTCGCTTTGATTCCTATGAGCTTATATGGAGGTGCGCATACTACTCGGTTTTAGTTGTGCAACCAAACAGTTGAAAACTGCACAACAATCGACAATCGACAATAGTTTAGTCAAAAGTGTGACCCCGCTTGTAGAGTTAATAATTTTAAATTGTGTAGACATTTAAATATTTTATTTGTTTATAAATTTAAAGAAAGAGATGGTCAAGGACGTCTATTTACATATCCCAATGCGATGTGTCGGAAACTCGCTACATATGTGATCAACTGTATTTTATACTGAGTTAGAACCGAATTTATTAGTAACTTTATCGTGCGTTTTTAGCTCACTGCTATACAATTAGACTTTGTAAGGTTTTTCCTAAACATGTATGAAACATCGTATTTTCCGTACAGACAAGTTTTTCTTAAAATTACCGACTTTAATTTAGCTCTGCGGTAAATGAATTTTTAATCATAATCATATCTGTTATCCTTTTGTGCAGTTTCCTTGTCATTTTGTGTTTCTAAGGAAAGTTTACCCATAAATATTGATATTATCATTAACTACTGAAGGTTGGGATATTCCAATCCAAGAATCATTTATTCAACAAATTTTTTATAGCCAAACTTATTCCAAGTCCAATCGATGATCTCTGTTAACTTCCATAAGGTTACTTACTTACTTTTTTTACTTACTCTTGCGGAAGATCAGCGTTGGTACTTCAATAGGAGCATCCAGCACTTATAGCTGAGCGAGGGCCCAATCCGGTCAGCATTGCAACGCTAATTTTAAATATTTCTTTTTCTTTTTCTTTTTTTTTTCATTTCATTAGTTATGTTTCTCATTATTTTGTGTTTTAATTTTTTTTTTCATAATTGTAGTGTTGACAAGGATTAAACATTATTTTATTTATTTAAGCAGAATAATTACTTTTTTTAGCACATTATGTTACTTTATTTGCTTGTACCAACTAATCTCCAGACTTGTGCTTAGATATGGGTTACGGCAATAGTTAAACATCGGGATTTGAATCCTTGATGACCTGATCGGAAAACGGTTCTTAATCATTAGGCTATTGATGCTTCAGAATTAACATTCAAATATCAAATAGGCAACGTATCTTCAATTAAGGGTGATTTGTTTTCATTGAGGTGACTGCTTGCTCGTTTGCCATCTAATCTATACTTCTTTACTAATGTTATAAAGAGGAAAGATTTGTATTTTTGTATGTATGACAATAAATCAAAAACTACTGGGCTGTTTAAAAAAAAATTCACCGTTAAAAAGGTAATATCTGTGAGTAACGTAGTCTATACTTTTTATATTTTTTTAATTTCACGCGGAGGAAGTCGCGAGCAACAGCTAGACATGTATAAAACTAATTCTGGCTAAAATCATATGCAAGAACCTTACTCCGCGTACATTGACTAGATTTAGAGTTCAGTAACATGTAAGAGGTCATGTCGTAGGCGAGGGTCGTAATGACTAATTGAATTTTTCTTTTGTCTTAACAGCAGTCAAATATAACAAAAGAAACTTAACTGTTCTTTTGTATTTTTCTTATATTAACAAAAAAAATCTTTATCTATTTGTAATTGAAATCCCCTTTTACTTTGAGGTTCTTTAATTAAACATAACCTTGGGTGCTATCTCCGGCGACCTTACCAATGAAAATCAATCGTTTAATTGTAAACAGGATGTAATGGAGACAGACAGATATAGATATTGAAATTCCCGTATGTTATCGAGTGAGATATTAAGTTTTAATTAACGTGTTGCTTTTGTTCTGTCTACACGTTTCGGTTGATAGGTCTGTACTAGTTTGTGCGTTTCTAACGTTTCTAACGTAGGTTCTTATTTCTCCAGTGGCGAGACCAGTTAACTGTCAAAAAGTCGTTATAACCCTCCTTTGTTACTCGTAACAAACGGTACTACATTGGAAAGACTTCATATAAACTAGTGCGGAAGTAAATTAGCTCGTGGAATCCGTTCACTTTATATTCACAAATGTAAGGAAATACAGCGCTAAAGTGAAGTGGCGTTCATTGGAGCGGTTCGAAAACGACGCGCGTGGTGATACCGGCGCGGAAGACGGACACGGAATCGTCAGATCGCTCGGCCGTGATACTCCTCCAGTTTTTGTATAACGCAGGGAATTATTTTTGTATACCCTACTACCCACGCAATTATATTGTGCATTATCATTAGGCGTTGTGTGCCCGACGGGAACGGACGTGTGTGATGACGTGAGGCATGTGTGACCCCGTGCTATCAGATAGTGCAGTGACGTGAGTTATTTATCATTAGACATTGCATCGATAATGCCGAGTGAGGTTCGACGAACAAGGGTAAGGATTCACAATCTTATCACTAGTTTACAAAACCTGTTGTTTTTGATTGTTTTTAGATATCTTTTAATACAGATAATCAATGTTTTTTTCAAGTACGGTTGGTGATAGGCGGTAAAAATAAATTTATTCAAAACATTAACATAACCCCCACGTGTGTGGGATAAGGCCAGGCAGATGATTTTACGAACGGGAATCATGGACATTGGAAATAGCAATTATTTTGATATATGAATTCTATCTGGCATTGAAAATGCCATAAATACTTTTACGATGACTACTAAACTCGGAATTATTTTTATCCCAATCCCTTTTCTTTTACTAAATCAATTTGATTCATATGTTTTGAAATGTTTATTCGTTTCTGTCCTGAAAGAACGAATTCTCAAAATATACATGTTAATTTATGTAAATGTTATTTTTTTGTACGTTGTCAAACTTGAAATTGGTTATTTTATCAGCCATATTTTGCAAACACCTCGTAATGTTTGATTATTTTGGAGATTGATAAGAAATTAAATTAAATGTAACCAGTGTGTTTACCCTTAGGGGTTAGCCTATGTTAGTATATTCCAAGCTTCTCTTTGTAGACGGGTACGGGTTCACCATACGTGGGTACATGTATAAAAATATTAAGACTGATTTCATCTATATTTATACTAATACTAGCTGTTGCTGTCGACTTCGTCCGCGTGAAATTAAAAAGTGATAAAACACTTAGCCTCTGTACTCAGAGATAATGTTGCTTTTTAATGGTGAAAGAATTCTTAGAATCAACCAAGTAAACATATAAAAATACAAATCTATCCTCTTTGTAATATTAGGATAGACTAGCTCTTGCACGCGACTTTGTCCGCGTATAATTAGATAATGACAAATATAGTCTACGTTACTCCAAGAAAAATAACATTTTTAACTTGAAGATTTGTATTTTTGTATGTGTACATTTAAATTCGCGCGGATTGACGTGAGGAAAAGTGGTGAATAAGTTACCTCTTTAGGTAGTAATGTAAGGTTAAAAGTGTATCTTTTAAATGTTCAATCGTTAAGTTAGTGCAAGTACAAGTCATATTTTATTCAAATGATATGCAAATGTACCAATTAATATATAGACATTGTGTGGTTTTGTTATAAACTACAGAATAACATTAGAGTATTATTGGTCTTTGGAGCAAGAGAAGCAGAGATTTTTTCTATATTTAAACTATATATGTTTACACATACAATTTTTGGAACGTATAAATTACGAGCTATTGTCCGCGACTTCGTCCGCGTGGTATTAGAAAACGTACGAACTATATAAATAACAAAGAGCTACGTATCCCTCGGGAACCGGACACCTCGGGGATGAAGCTTATCCCATGTGTACTTCAGACTTTGTTTTATATCTGTGCCAAATTTCAATAAGATATGTTGAACCGTTGCAGAATGATCGAGTAAACATTAATAAACTAAATTAATGAATCCTACGGGAACCGTAAATTATCCCG